CCATGTTATTCCTGTGGGTATAGTTAAGATCCGGAGAGGGTAGCAGAAACGATTCTCGGTATTTTAAACAGAGGGGATTTAGTACAGGTGATGGAAGAGATGAGATGCCAAATAAGAGAAGGGATTCAACCCAGGTATTAACAATGTCAGGAAGTCACCTCCATCCCTAGGACAAGAAAGACACAGAGAGGAAGAGGTATTCCCATCTGAGAAAACTCATCTGGATAGATCTAGGTCCACTGGGGAAACAGTGTACTGCTCTAAGTTGGGGGCAGGGACTGCAATTATTGCCAAGGATGCTACTTGAAGCAGAGAGAAAATGGGGGACATACCCTGGCTTCTTCCTTCCTCCTGCTCCCGCATCCCCTGTCTTTTGTTAGTGCCTCCTATTAGCCAAGCCTACCTGGAAATGAGATTACACAAGGGCTGGGAAACGGAACAGATGAAGAGAATGTTGGGAAATGGATATAAGAGCAAACAGATAAGCATCCAGTACATTCCAGCAATAAATATGTATTAAATTATTTCACTGTATCTTTACTATGGCAATGAGGTCTAGAGATACCAGAAAAGGCTTTTCAATATTAACAATCTAAGAAAATTTATTTAGCTATAGGAGGGGAATAGGAATGTTTCCATTTCCAAAAGACCTTTAAAGTAGAGAGAGGCGGAAAAAATAGGGAGAGAATATTGGTCTTGGGGCAACCTTACTTTTTAGTATTTTGGGTTTTAAAAGTGTAACTGAATTAGAAGATCTGGGCCAAATAAACGAGTGAGCACAGTGCTAGATATCATTTCTGCCTCTTTTATTGGTGTCTCCTTCTCTCTCTAGAGGAATAGTTTCTCTCTCTCTCTCTCTCTCTCTCTCACATACACACACACACACACACACATCTTTTAGACGTTTGGGGTAGGGAAGGAGAATTCCATGTTTGTGGGGTGCAGTGATGGATTCAGCCACAGCACTTATATAGAGAAGCTGCCATGAATAGAGATTATGAACCCCCTAAATTTCCATTTGGAGAGACTCTCCCCACTCTTACCTCTGGAGGAGGTGGAGGAGGTTGGGGGCTAAGCAGAAGCCATAGAGTTCAATAAAAAAAAAAAGAGAGAGAATTAGAAAGGTATAGGACAATTACTTAGTCTAATTTTCCTGGTAGTAACCATTAAAAAGAGAAACCTCCCTTCTAGGCCACATTTCTGACTTCACTTGAAGTCCAAGGTCAAATTTTACTTCTGATGTACTGCTGCTATTGTCTCAAATCCAATTTACATCTGTTTCTGTTTTTAGTGATTGCTTTATTCTTTTCAAAATCATCTCATCCCGTCACAGGGTGAAGGAAAGAACATTTAGAAACTAGATGTCGTATTAACCATAACCATTATCCTTTATTGGATCCCAAAGATTTAATCTCTATCCATAAACAGGTGAGGAAGACACTAGTTTTCAGCTCAGCTTTACACTTTAAGATGCCTCACTGGGAAGAGGGCAAAGGCTCGGCCATCCACCTGTCATTATGACCCAGAGAGGATCATAACTGGTATGGATAGGCTGGTGGTTCAGCCCTATTTGTCCCAAAGCTCCCCTTTTATAGCAAACATTTTATGATAAACCCTTTAATATCCCGAGGTGATAGTCTTGATAATACATATGCAATTTCAACAAAAATCAAACTGATGCCTGAATTGTAATATAAAATAAAATGAAAACAGTTTGTAGTAAAATAACATACATTACAAGAAAGAAATGCTAAGGCCCAACTCTATTAGAAAACAGTGATGTGGTGAAGAATTATGACTGTGACAGCTACAAGCAGACTGATACAGGTAGAGAGCAGAGATTCAAATAGCACAATTAGCATTACCACTCATGTTTTTTCTAGAACGGTGGACAACACTGGGTAAAGTTCCAAATGAAATAAAGTACCACCTTCCCCTTGATTTACAGTGGTAGCATTCCTAGAAAATTCAGCATATATTAAAATCATGCAAAAATACTTTGAGTTATATTCTAAGCTTAGGTAATTATAAATAGCACTTTACATGAAGTGTTTGAAACCCTAACCTCTGCCCAATAAATACTGATAATGCCCTCCTCAGTCATTGTGATTGACAACCCCAAATGTCCCTGAATGTTTCCAAAATGCCATCTTGGGCTAGAACTGTACCTGCTGGGAATCCCTAGAATGGATGACTAAGGCCTTTTTGAAGGACAGGGATATGGGAACATGGACTCTGTGAGTCCACATTTTTGTCTGTATAAGCCCTGATTCAACCATGTCCCTTTTGAGACCACCTGACTGACAAGCTGTCAAGAGAACAGTATGTGTATTGTTGCCAGAACTCTTGGCAAGATTCTTTATTGTCAGCTTCTAGTTTTATTTATGTAGAAATGGTTTATTTCTGGACTATACAAGGGCTCAAGACATACCCTTCCTCACTGAGATTGGTTTACCTGTGGGTATTACATACCCAATGATGGGAAGAACTATCAAGAACCAACGTTGCAGTGTGAACCAGCAGAGGAATGGCAATAGGTAAGGTTGAAAGTCCAGTTAGATATATTGGCTATTGACCAGAAATGCTGATTTATCATAAAAATATCATATTCAAAAATAGTTTATTACTCAAGGATCCAATTAGCTGTATTTCTGCCTCTAGCATGTAAAGCTAAATTTGAACAAGGATGTATCTGTCAGTATATGGCACTGTCCTTGTGTCTGGATTGGGGCACGAATAGAGAAGTAGTGACAACACAGTTTTGATATCCTCAGACCCAGATTCAAGCCCTCTCTGCCTTCTGTGACCTTCAGTAAGTTAAATAATGTCATTGAGCCTCCATTTCCTCATCTGTAAAATAGGGTTCATAATCGTGCCTGACTCATGGGGTTTTTATAAGGACTAATGAGATAATGTAGGTGAACCATTTGGCATAGTGACTGACTCACAGTAAGAACTCAGCAAATATGAACCATTGTTGGGGTGGTGGTAATTATCACTCACACAGATCTAACGAAGATCTGTGGAAGGAAAAACTATCATCTTTAAAAAGAGGCTGTAATTTGGCCTAGATGATCTTGAAGAAAGGCAGAATTCCTCTCAGGGACAGAATTGCTCTTTTGTTTTGTAGAAAACACTTACAGGGCATATCCAATGATAAAAGGTGAGCTGATCTGCCCCCATCCCCGCTGTGAGTAAAGCTGTGATAAAGGAAGATTGCTCTGCATAAGAACGTAGTAGTATTTTCTTGCATATTTTTTCTAAGGGAGTGGATGAAAGGTTGGATAGAAAGCAATTCCTAAGATGACATCCTAAGATGACAGTGAAGTTTGACAATTGGCAGCCATTTTCTACCCTCTTACTTCACCATCCACAAAACCTTTATTGAGAAGGTTGTACACATATTAGCCATGTGTGTGTGTGTGAGAGAGAGAGAGAGAGAATGAAGGGAGAAGAGTATTGTCTAGAGTAAAGGGTGGAGGGAAGCAATGCAGTTAGAAGTCATGGCCACAGGAGACAGTGCTGAGCGTGAACAGAAGAGGGGTTTAGTCCTCCTGTTGGTCCTGGGGGAGCCATGGAGACTCTGAAGCTGGTAGGGATGTTGAGCCAAACATGGGAAAACAATACAGGAAACTTTGGTAATATTATTAGTTCCTTAAAATCAAGTACAAAGCCTATGAACCTTTTTTAGATTTAGGTAACTTTCCAAATAACTCACAGAGAGTTTAAGAAAAGGGAAATAGAATGAGTATTTCCAAAGAACAAGAAGGAAATTACTAATCTTTCCACCTTGAGCTTCTGTAAATGCTACTGTGAGTCTGATATTCACAATATCTATTCAATAAAGAATTAAAAAGATTTACTGAAACAAAAACTCAATGTTGAGAGATCATGTTCTTATAACATCTCTCCATATGGGAATATATTAAATGCTACTTGTATATTATGTATCCTACATGATAGAAAATCTTTTTTCAAGTGCTTTGTATCATGGATTATAACTCGCTCCTGGGTTACAGTAAGTGGGGTCAGTTACTTAAACCTGCTTTACTGTTTATGCTTATATTGTACAATTCATACATCTCTTATGTAATTTGTACAAGTTCTTTGAAACCTTTATTTTTAAATATAATCTGTAAATTCTATGGTATCTACATTCTGGTGTATGATTAGTTTTATTTTCTGCATAAATATTCATGTTTATTTGCTGCAATGACCTTAATTAATAAAAATGCTACATAACAACAGAATTCTTAAGGAATGACACATTACACCAATATTGTTCAAAAGAACTAATTAATCAAACATGATTAATTTTAATGTAATTACTAAAGAAAGATATAGCATTTTATTTTGACACTCTAGCCATACATTTTCAAAATATACTTATTAAACAGTAAATGTAAGATAATGATTCAGTTAGTTACATTTTTAGAAGTCATTAGGATTGATATTCCTCTGCCATAAATGAATTGAATAATAATTTCAAATACAATCAGTTAATTTAATTAAAAGTATGCTTTTGAACTAAGACAGATATAATGAATGACCAATCATTATTTTCTGGTTTCAAAGTAGCAGGGAAGATTAATTCAGTGTCTGTAAGTTTATTTATGACACTTGGACTGCATATGTGATAAAAACAAATGAAGCAAAACACATGATGTGATCCCAGTTTTCATAATCATTAGCTCTCTTAGCAAAAAGAGATCTGACGTGGTATTTGGGGCCTTTATGTAAACTGAATACAAACTGCATGATGTTTGAAAGTTTTTGATATTTGAATAGACATTCTTAATAATACACAGACACAGATAAGAGATGTGAGTAGGTGGCTTGAGGTTTCAGAGTCCCTCCTGCAGTGTGTTTAGCAGCAGGTACAAGATAAATATCCAAACAAAATCAGATTAAGGGATTACAGTAGTGACTTTGCTATGGGTAGGTGAGTGGGGCCAGTGGGTGGTTTGGAAGGGATTTTCAAATTCTTTTTTCATTTTTTCTTTTACATCAGTGCATTTTGGGCAAAAGAAAATGAGTAATGTTTACTTTTTGGATACAGTAGGCCTAGGCAATTAAAAAAGACAGCGTCTAAGGATTGTGAAAGGTCATTTTGATACTGACAGGTGATTCAGCAGGGGTTAAATAGGAGAAACTCTATCTTAATTCACATTTCGATTGGGCAGTAACATTTGAACTTTTGTGTTCTCTTTTTTTAGTTAAAAAATAAGGTTTTTTTTCCTTTGAAAGACCTTATCAATGACAGCTGAAGAATGGGGAGAAAGGGAGACCATGTTTAAGATCAGTGTGGCATCATAAATTAAGAAGGAACATGTGCAATGTATGTTTTAAAAGAAGACCCTTTAATTACTAGGATTTCAGCTTGGCCAGCTCTCTATAAAATTTTGAGGCAGATACCTAATGAATAAGGACTGGGAGGAAAAAAGACAGTTTCAAAAATTCCCTGGGTCTCTGTCTTATCTATGGGAGGTTTCCTTAAAAAGGTTTTGTTCAAGATAGGTTTTGGTTATTTAAATTTGTATCTTTATCCTGTACCATACGCACTTAAAGCTCAGACAGTCTTCTTACCTCCTTTTTTAAATAGAAATCACACAAAAAAGGTATCTATGTATCAGTTTCTAATACCTAACAAGAAAGTCTTTTAGAATATTAACATAGCAATAAGCAAATATATACTATAGGATTAATCACTAGCATTGAAAATAAACAAACAAACCAAAAACAAAGAATCAACAAAATTTTCCTCTTATTTTTGCCCCTTCAGATTCTGGACTTTATGATCATTGCAGGAGAGGGGCATTAAAGAATCACACTTCTTTTATTTTAAAATTAAAAAATAAATGATGCCATAATGATGCATAAATCAGATTTGTCTTTTGAAAACACTGAAGGGGAAGCCCAGGTGATGTGAGTGGGAATGCTCTTTCTTATGAAGAGAGCCAAATAGGATCTGTCTCTAATAAATTAGTACAATCTTTTAAGATTAAAAATAGCAAAAACATTTTAAATAGTCTGATTATAGCTTCAACAAGTCAAACATACATTTCTATCTAGCCTATAGTTTTAAAGAGTCTATGTGGGTTTAACTTATCCCTCATTCCAATATAAAAAAAGAAAAAAACAAGTCATTTTTGAACATTAAGATATTCATAAAGACTGCATAAAGTAAAAAAACAAAACAGAAACAAAAACAAAAAAATCTTCACAGATTGTTAGCCATCTCTTTCAACGATTTCTCATAAATTCTTCTCTTTCCTTTTCAGTAGATAACCCCCATCTCAGAAGGAAATACTTTCCAACACTTCCCAATGAGATCAGTGATTGCTTTTTATGAGAGCTACTGCTCTTTGAGATGTTTAGATGAAGGGAGAATATCTTCTATAAACCAGTAAATGCCAAAGAATTACTCAAGGGGGATGTGGCAGAAGGTATTTTTAGGAGGTGAATCTATGCATTTTTCTCTTTGTTTCTATTTCCTCCACTTGCTGAATATCTGTTTTAGAGCAGAGAGCACACACATACACACACAATCAATAAGTAACTTAATCATTTTTTTAGTTCTGCCTTTTACCTATAAGGTCTTTTTTTTTTTTTCCCACTTATACTCCATGCTCTTGATCAAGGTGTTCAGATCGGATAATATATTGCTAAAGTTGTTGAGTTTGAGAGCCAACAAAATAATGGGGCCTTCTAACTTAAAAATGTTTCCATCTTCTGCCTTTGCACCCCCAAACTCACAATTTGGTGAATAATACACTACTTGTGAGTGATTAAAAGTTGAAAGGTGGTGGTGACTAGACCTAATGCTATTTTACTAAGCCATCTATCTATAGAATTGTTGTTTTCATACTTTAAAAAAATATGTCTATGCTTTCTTTTTTTTTTTTCTTTTTTCTTTTTTTTTTTAGTCAAGTACTTTCTTAAAGAAACAATAGCACCACATTGGCATAGCTGGCCAAACAATAAATGGGAAAGCAAAATGTGCTACATCTTCCATTTTAAGTATTCTCCTAAGTGCATAAAGTAGCAGAAACTCTGGAGCCACAGAGCATGAGATGGTTTCATCTATACAAACACTGACATTCCAAGGAGGGGTAGGATTCTCAAGTGAGGCTAGGCCTTTTTTTTTTTTTTTCTTTTTTAAATAAGATTTTTCAAGGAAGTGATTTCTTCTCAGTATTCCATTGAACTTTTAGGATGAGTGTGTGTGTGTGTGTGCTTGTGTGTGTTTCTGTGGGTGTTGGGAGAGTTTTTCCTTATCTCTAGGTAATGGAATAATGCTTTAACTTTTTCAGTGGAGCATCTTCATTCTAAAATGTTCAAACAATACAATTATATAGCTGGAGAAGTGGGAACAGAAATTTGACTGGTATTTAGTATGGCAATAAACCCATAAGTTGAAAATTCATTCTTACCAATATTTGTAGCTCTTTTATAAACATCTTGATGTTGCCTCATCTTAAAAATTTAAAGCTAAGCTTAAAATTTCGTTGTAAAATTTCATGTGCTTCCTTCTGTCAATTCTGGGTCATTCTGCTGTAGTATATAGTGATCAGCTGACTTTTGGTGTTGACAACAATTTGTCTTCTAGTTTTAATTCATTTAAAAATAAGTGGGTTGGTATAAGTAGTTAATTTTTTAATTAGCTGATTTATGATACAGTTGGAGAGGACTGTGTGTTGGAAAAAGTTAAGAAAGGTAATATGGCTTCTCATATTTAAGCTTTCCTCATTGGGGTATTTTTGTGAATAGAATTATTAAGCAAATCAAATAAGTCATAGACACCCTTAGAACTACTGTATACAACTATGTCTGGAAACCTATAGGTCTGCAGAAGTTTGCATGTAGTGTTGTTGGGAATCAGTAGTTTGAAAAGGTATACCCTAGGAATATGAAATAAAAATCAGAAGTGCCGTTTTGGGAAAATGGGTCCAGCATCTCATTCCACAGAACCCATATGTCTAGAAAACAGATGAAGGGCAAAAATGACCTGTGGTTTCTTTTACAGCTATCCACAGTGATCAGAACATAGCTCAGCAAGCCAGAGGTGCTGAATTCAAATAATGATGTGGGCTGAGGTTAAAATATTGGTTGGCTGAGCTGGGGCACCCACTAACTAGGCCTTCTTTTTGCGTATGTTTGGCGATCCAAGAAATCTTTTTTTTTTATTTCCTGGCTTCTGAACCTTGAGATGAACCAGTGGGATGAAAACTAAAGATGTTATTTTTGTTTTCCATGTACTCTCTCCAAGAATAAAATGGATATAATTTGCATGCACTAATCAAGCCTGGTTGCTTTTCACCAAAAAGTTCTAAGGTAGATAAAAAGATCTGGATGATGGGCAATTCATTGTTCTAATAAGAAAATCTTGATATGTAGACAGGAAATATTTTCTAGGTCACCGTGGACCTGTCCTCATCATTGGATTTTCTTGATACCAATTTTCAATTGAATGTCTTTAAGACACATTCACAGAGTGCGGCTAGGGAGCCACTCTTCTAAGCAGACAGGAGAGAAAATTTCTAGCTGTGAAGGAAATTTTTGCCTCTTATCTAGAAACTCTAGTCAAGCATATTTTTACCAAAATAAAAAAATATATATATGTATATGTACCTACTGCTAGAGATAAGAACAAAATTCATTAAAGAAAGTAAATTTGTGACTTAGTTATTATTTCAATATTTGAAATCTTGAGTCATTTTTTAGATTGCCTAAAAAAGGAATAACTGTTTTTCAAGTGAATAGAGAAGTGAAGAGAGTATCATGATATTAAAAGAAGTATTATTAGATTATTAGTAACTGTCTGGAAGAGTCAGTAAGTGCTAAAAATGGAATAATCACCCTTTCACTGATAGAAATCTTTGTTTTTCTCCTTTTTTCTTTTCCTTTCTCTCTTTTCACTTTGTATTCATAAATCCAAATGCAGAATACAAAAGCAAATTGTAGATCAAATGTTTCTAAGTTATTTTGAAAAGTGTTTTAAAAGAGATTGAGCTGTTAGCTTTTAACAACTAGTTAGTTGGATAGGTAGTTGGATAGCTAGTTGGATAGCTTCATTGACAAGAATCCACATGTCAGGAGCATTCAGCTAAACAGCTTTCCAGCTATGCTGTGAATGGGTTGTTTATAGAATTCCTTGCATCCCAGCAATTCAAGGGCTCTGATTTTGCCACCCTCAGAGCAACTCATAAAAATCTGGAGCTTTATCATTTGAATCCTCATACCACCCCTGTGAGGTAGGTAGATGATATATTGCCCCCATTTTGCAGATGAGGAAACTGAGGCACAGGGAGGTTAAGTGACTTGCCCAAGGTCACACAGTGGTGAGTCTGTGGCAGAGTCGGCAGATGTTTGTTTCTTCAGCGAGAAAAAGAAACCAGGACTGTTAAATCCCTAGCCTTCTGCTTTTTCCACTCCTCTCGCTCAAGTTCAACTGTGCATCAGTGGACTTCGTGTCTCATTTCTCTTGGAAGGCATAATTGGGGGAACTTTTCTTTCCCAAATGGTTGGATTTTTAGTACCCTTCCCCTCTATGTCACCTTTGGCTCCAGGCTTCCTCTTCTGTTTTGCTTTCACATTTTACCGTTTTGGCCAGACTCTTTCATATAACAAACTACAAAATAGCACCATTGTACTAAAAAACAGAGTTTTACATACTGTTTGATATATCCTGTATAATTGATATGCTAAATTTACATAGTGCTCTATATGGAAAAAATTAAAAGAAAGAAGTTACTAATCAGGTGACACACTAACTCATCATTTGAAGGAACCATTGAGAGTTTGAGACTTTCTATGCTTAAAACATACGCCTAAAAATGATTGGCCTCAAAGTTGCAACTACTTGCATTTTTTTTAACAAGATATGGAAAAATAAAGCTTTGTGTCTAAAATAAATGTATTCAACTTATGTTTGGTACAAATGCCACAGATAGAATCTTGTGGGTTAAAAATTGGTGTACTACTTGACTGCTTGCTGCTGCTATCGAGGAGGCCAAATTCAGCAAATATAAAGGTGATGGGGTGGGGGTGGGATAGATGAACAAGATTATCAGACACTGTAAAACAAACAGCCTGTGTTGCGTAGAAAGAAGTGCAAATAAAAAAAATTAATAAACCACTTAGACAAGGCTGCTGAATGAATGTCTCTAGCAGCCAAGATTCAGAGACAAATTTAGTGCAACTGGATCTATACAACACCCATGCATTTGTGGCTCTTGAGAGGCAGGGACTAAGATCTATATATATATTTTCTCTATAGAACATTATTGATAAAGGGTCAACAGCAATCTACCAACTCCAGGACCATTTTTTGCAAGGTGCAAAGCTTTTTAACAATCACTCCTAAAGACAATGTTGGAATGTTTACTTGCGTATTTCATTGGGGGAATGCCCATCTTTTGAAATGTTATCAAACTTTTTTGGTGGGTCTTCTGATAACTCATGCAGAGCAAAGGATCCTGCCGGTGGCATGTCATTCTTCACTCTTCAGGAAGGTCTTTCTACATTCTGTAGTTCTTGTTTCCTGCACTTCCTCTACTTGTGTTCTTCAAATGTACTTCCTAGAAATGAGGGAGAAAATGTGAAGTTAATTTGATGAAATTTTATGTATCCTATACCCATCTATTTCTCTTTGGTCTCAAACTTTCATATTTTATGTTTCACCAGTCAATTTAATAAACAACTTGGGCCTGGTTTTTCTGAGAAATACACATATAAGTGGATGGGCCTTTAGTTTTTAGTTTAGCGAGACCTCACTCAGACTACCTCTCTGTACCTCTATGATGGCATGGGGACCACAGATTGCTTTGTAACCACACAAAAGTGTGCATTTATTCATCTGCTGCTATCATAGATTTGTTGATAGGAAGAAGAGTCTTTAAAATCCAGTCTTCTGGCCTGGAGCATCTTTTTCTAGTGAGAAAAAAAAATCACATGCTGGGATCATCCTCTGCTATTTTATTGCATTTTGTTCTATTTTAATTTTTATAAAAGGGAGATGTTTCTTTATTGTTTTTTGCTTTTTCTCCTTTGGAGAGAGGCAGTTTTAGGGGTTTGAAGTTGATTTAGAATCTATAAAAACGTAGACATTCTGAGCTGTGCTCAAATCCTAGCTCTTCCATTTAATAGCTATGTGAACTTGCGCAAATGACAATCTCTTATGTCTGAATTTCATCCATAAACTAGGATCCTAAGAATTTCTACCTTGTAGGGTCAAGATTAAAGAATTAGAATGTAAGAGCACTTAATAGGTTTGGCACATGGTAAACACTACATAAGTATTACCTATTGTTATTTACTCACACTTCTTACTGTTATTATTTCAACTTTATTGGAAAGTAGCCATTCTTGGATTAAAAGTCCTGGGTTCCCTGGTTTGGTGTACCATTCACCTATCAACAAACAATGATGTTATCCAAGGAATACTGAATTTTGCTTAGAATAGAAGCCCTATGATAGTAAGGACTTATCTGTTCACTATTATAGCTCCATGTCTAGAGCAGGGCCCAGAATATTTCAGGTGCTCAATAAGTAGCTGTAGAATGAGTTAAGTGAATTAATGAATATAATGAACCCTCTGATAATATGCAGAATCAAGTCAGTACACTTTTTCTATAGTTATTATTTTATCCTTGAAAATACTTAAATAGCAACATTTATTTAGACAAAGAAGATATAAAATAAAATCCAGGAAAATGACATTTGCATGCATAAACATCAGGTGCTTCCTCTCTTGATTTCACTTCTAGTCAGGAGGCCCTTATAGGAGGATGTAATCGATAATTATTGGTAAAGAATGAGATTCAAGGATCCACAGTGTCCCTTTTCCCAGGAACATGTTTCCATCAAGACCAAAACCAGGAATTCTCAACATAATGACAGGAATCTCCAAATTCTCCCTTCTGACTAAGATAATGACCACTCACCCAATTGTTGTTAGAAGTTTAGAAATCATTGTAAGGGACTCTGGAGATCACTCAGACCTAAGAACTAGAGAGAGAGATAACCTGGGGCAGAATCAACTACCAATCCCTGGAAATGATACCTCTTGGCTGAGACCCAGAGGGATTTGATAATTTTTCTTACACGTGTTTTCAGCTCTACCTGGAACATTAGTGTTATCAAGTCCTTTATAAAAGCAAGTTAGCACTTAGCAAGTTGACGGTCAGTACCTTATGATTACTGAATAGAGGAAGATGGCATCATTGTGTAAAAATGTTTATTAAAACATCCAGCTCAATGACCATTGAAAAAAATCTTGTGGGAAGAAATTGGTCATTTGTATAGGATAGCTTGAAATACCACCTGTTTAAAATTCTGGCACTTTCCCCCCAAATACCATACAACTTTTTACAAAGTTCACTTAACATGTATTTGCTGCTGTACACAGCATCTGCTGGTAAGCTACAAATAAATTTGTATTCCTAATCTTACATCTTGTTTTGCTTCCTCAAAGGAGTTCTCCAGAAAAATGGGGGAAAAAAGACATATAGGGCTACAGAATAGAATCACTATTGTCCCAAACTCCTTGAAATGTTTCTGTTCTGTTCTCAGTAGACCCTGCTGATGGTATATGGCTCATCAAAATCCCACAGTCACTATCATTAAGGATACTGCTCCTCTACCAAACTAGTAACCAAATTAACTAACAGGTCTAAAAATACCTTAATTTGGATTTTACCTCTTTTTCTGTTTAAGAGGCATGCTAGCTTAGAAAAGGAAGATTTTTAAGAGTCTGGGTAAAGGCCAAATTAGGAAAATGCTCAAGAATGAAATGGTAACAGATTGAAAGAAAGCCACATGAGGTATTTAATCTCTAGCCTTCCTCTCAAATCAAATTAATCCCAGATTTCCAGGAAAAAATTCAGGTATCTTCTATGCTTCCCGCTTCAAATTCATGAGCTGTAGCAAAAAGGACTGATCTTAGCTTGGCCGGCCATATAGGTCTGATCCTTTTCCCCAGCAGAAATTCTTTTTTTTTTTCTCTCCAAGCAGAGGTGTAAGTGTAAAGTCTGAGCGGAGGGATCCTCTGGCCTATTTCTTCTGGGTCTGTTTCAGCATCACGGCAAAGTCATGGGCAGAAACTCACTTGATAAAGCTGACACTGCTCCAAGTAGCATGGTTCCCATGCACACAGGCGTATGGTGGAGGCCATTCAAAACCAGCTGGGATGTCGTCTGGTTTGCATTTGGCTCTCTTCCCAGGCTCTCACATGTGACTTCTTTGTTGCAGACGATGACAGTGACAAAACAAAAGCACTCAGGGATTTGGTCTCAGTTGCATCTGTTGCTTTGCTCATTGTCTTAATTTAATGACGCGGGCCACCCTTGACAGTGGGTGGCAAGTGGAGGCATGTTAGAAGCAGCCATCAGAGCTGGCACCCACCTTCAATGCACTTCTTGCAGAGTTATGAAACTGTCCCACATTCAGCCAAGCAAAAACTTTTCACTTCAACAGCTTGTCCAAGACAAACAAACCAGCTGAAACTGTTTCTAGTATGCAACTAGACAGATTTTTGAAAGGAAAACAGTAGTGAGTAAATACTGTTTCCTATTGACACTAGGGAAGGTAAGATTATTTAAAAAAAAAAAGAAAGAAAGTTGGTATTCTGACTCACTGGGGTTGGTTGAGGAAGTTTACCCTCTGAAGGAAGAATGAACCAACTCACGAGGGAGTAAGTTGGATAGGGGTTAGTTTGTTATATAGTTATTACACAATGTGTGCCCTACGTAGATATGTAGGAAGCTGTAAAATGCCCTGAAGGGGTCATTCACGTTCCCCCATTATCTCCATTTCCAAAGGAAAGCTATCCACAAGCTTGTTAACATCACTGAGAGCTAATAACAATTGCAATAATAGTAATCTTGATTAAAATTTGCAGACACTTTACAGTTTACACAGTAATCTCAGCGAATCCTCCAACAACCTGGTGAGATGATGTTGTTTGCATCATCTCAGTCAGTCTGAGGCTACCTAAGATTTAGTGATTACTTGAGGTCACACAGGAACAAACTGATAGAATTAGAACTAATAGTAAAATAATTTATTATTTTAGTAAAAAAATAATGATTCCATCACTTGAACATTCGTCTGTGCTGGGCACTGTATTGTAATATGCTAATTGTATATATTTTGTTATATAATTCTCATAGTTCTCTCAGAGACGGGTACTAGTGTCTTGCCCATTTTATCTTTATGGAATATGAAGCTTATAAAAGTTAAACAGCTTACCTAATCTCTTACAGTGAAGATGTGACCATGATTGGAATTTGTATCAGTTCCTTCTGATTCTAGGGCTCACCAGTTAGCCACTCTGCCATACTGCCTCCCCAAGAGGTTAAACAATATTTGGTGCCTCAAGGTCCAAATCTCTTTCCAATAACAATAACTGATAATGTTATGAGTTGCCTATGATCTCAGAGGTGGTAGCTGGTTTAGAGGATAAGGCAACACTCTAAACTAAGGAAGTGGGTACCCTCTCTTATCACAGTATGGCCGAGTCTCATTTGCATGGTTATTGATAGAGGTCTAGTAGCATAGTATTCATTTAGCAAAAGCTAACCCTGTGGATGTTATAAGCCCTTGTTTTCTTCCTGCCTGTCTTTATGAGATTTTGCCCAAGAGACAGAATCTAAAAGAAAGATGATAATAAGCCCTTTAAATTTTAGGGAGGAAGCAGTGATGTTTTCAGTAGACTATTTCCATCTCCACCCACTACAAACAAGTTAAATATTGTATGACATAAGCTCTAAGAAAAGCCTGGCACCCTATAAAAAAAAAAGTGCTGGGAAAATACTGTCCAGCATGGAGTGTTAGCAGCCTATTGTACAGCATAAAGTCCCAACTCAGCATTGACCTTCTCTTTAAAAGAGCAAAATGGAAAAAAAAAAAAGCAGTGGATGACTGAAGAGATGGCCCAGTGTCAGCTCTTTACCTGTTGATAAAGGATGTGCTTTAGCTATTTTGCTGTCTTGGCCTGGAGATGTGAAATTGTGGAGGACGATTTAGCTGTCTCAGTATCAACTTTGATACCTCTTTACTTTGGGCAAATCATAAGTTCAAATTCTAGGAGAGCCAGGTCAGCCTTTCATCTCTGAGAGCCAAGCAGAGTGAGTGTCATGCAGTCAGCTCAGTGCTTTGGGATGTGACTTTTAAAACCTAAGGACAAGGTGGACTTTTCAAGAGACTTATGCTTCTGGTGGAGTAACAGCCTCTTTAACAAAGTGAGAGGTAAATAGTTTGGGCATAGTGTTGATCTGCCCTACCTCTTATTTATTTTTTTCTGGAAACTACTTCATCCTATCTCTTATGTGTTTAAACTGAGAATGCCTGTTTTTTCCCAATCTGATCCTCTCCTCTGGTCCTAGTGGGCCTGAGCAGGCCCCTCCCATACCCAAGACAAGTGTGGTGGGGATACCACAGCAGACCCATTCTTGGGAAACACAAAACTCCTTTACTGGACAGCTTTGGCTCAAGGACTCCTCAGTGGGTTTGCTGAACTTCCCTTAAACTGTATAGCAGACTAGGATGCTTCCACCCAACTGTCTCTCTTCCTCTCTTT